CCCCCCGTCCTCACAGCAACACCATCTGAGGGAAATATGATTCTCATTTCCCTTTCTGAAAATGAGGAACTGAAGCCTGGGGAGGTTTCAGTCACTTGCCAGGACCACCCAGCTTAAAAATGACCAAGCTGGGAGTCCAACCTCCGCCCACACTCATAGCTCTTCCTTATGCGCTCAGATATATTGGCAAGACATGTGCGAGCAAGCCAGCCTCCGCAGTCAGCTCAGCTCACAGATGACCATGGGGTCACCTTCCCCACTTCTCTATCCACCACCCCCATATGCCCCAGGACCCACAGCGCTGCCCCAGAACTCAGGAGCCCAGCTCATCGCCCCCACAGCCCTGCTCCCTCTTTCCCTGTCTGCATCTCCTACCCCCAGCAGCTGCAGCCTGGCCCGGTTGGGGGCGGCCCCAGGATTTGGATGGGTGACTCAAACTGAATCACGGCCCAGCTGCTCCTTGGCAGCCCCCTCCCCCATTCTGCCCAGAGAGCCTACTCTGAAGGCAGAGGCCGGTTTGGGACTGGGGGACAAGGAGCAGGGCACTAGGAATGAGGCACTTGGGATCCGGCTCCTGAAGAAGGTGGCTCAGACCTCTGGGTCCTGCACCAGGCCACAACAGTGCTCCCCAAAGCCCCACCCCATGCTCCTCTCCACCAGGCCAGGGAAAGAGACCTTCAGTCCAGATCAGATGGGCCATCCCTCTCTAGTCTGACAGCTCGTTTTGATGCCCCTGCCCCACCTCTGGCCCCAGTAGTCACAATATGGCTGTAGCTGTTTAAATGGATCATTTGCATTTCCTCAGCACACTACAGGTTACAAAGCACTTTCTCCTCAGCATTGAATTTCAGTCTCCTGCTAGTTCAAGGGGATAGAGATTAGCACTGCCATTTTTGAGCTGAGGGAACTGAGGCTCAGAGAGGTGAAGTAAACTGTCCAAGCTGGTGAGATGGGAGTCAGGAAGCAAGCTCAAGCTTCCTAGTGCAAAGCCCAGGAGGGCCAGTATCCGGCTGCAGCCTAGCATCATGGAGGTATTGCATGGTGGGCTGGTGGCACTGCTGGCAGAAGACACAGTGGCGGGCACAGTAGGAGGGGGCCATATGGGGTATTGCAGGAACATGAGGAAGCATGGTGGGGTATGGTGAGGGCATGGCGGGGCATTGTGGGCTATGGTGGGGCATGGTGATGGTATTATGAGGGTACAGGAGGGGAATAGTGAGCATGATGGGGCATGGTAGGTATCATGATGTGAGTATGGTGGGGACATGATGTGGGGTGTGGTGGGGTGATAAAGTGGGGAAATGGTGGGAGCATGGTGGGGTGTTATGATGGGGAAATGGGGGTAGCATGGTGGGGCATGGGGTGACATGGTGGAGGCATGGTTGGGAATGATGGGGCATGGTAGGGATGTAGTGGGGTATGGCAAAAGCATGGTGGTTGGAACGATGGAGACATGGTAGGGAGATGGTGGGGCATGTGGCAGTATTATGGGGGCATGATGGGGATGGTGGGGGATGATGGAGTGGCATGGTGGGGACATGGTGGTTGGCATGATGAGGTGGGGGTGACATGGTAGGGAGAATGGTGGGGCATGATGGTTGGTGTGGTTGGTGGCATGGGGGGGCATAATGGAGCCACTATGAGTGGCAGATGAGCACATAGTGGGGAGATGAATAAGGACCTGGTTGGGACAGGGTGGGGTAACATGGCAGGAGGCGTGGTGAGGGAATGGTGGGCCTGATGGGAGCATAGTGAAGAAGGGTGGGGGCATGGTGTGACTATGATAGGGACGTGGTAAGGACACGGTGGAAGCTTGGTAAAGTGGCACAGTGGATCCATGGGGAGATGGCATGGCAGGGGCATGATGATGGTTTGGGGTGTGGTAGGTTTGTGACTAAATTTTCCTCTTATCCTGACTACCACTAATGGAATTACAGAATTATTTATGTTTTCAAGCCATCTTTCCAGTGTTCAGGCCAATATCCCAAGGCTAGCAAACCCAGAAGTTTCCCATAAGGCTTTGGGACCTTTGCCTCCGTTTCTTTGTCTGGAAAGATAGGTCCAGACCTTCAACAAAGTAGGCTACTGAGCAGAGCCAGCAGAAACGCCAGCACCCTGCCCTTTAGAAGCCACCAAGGCCTTCACAAGGCTGTTTTGCACATTTTGTTTTATTTTTCTAAAAGTCATTAGTGGGTACTGTGCAGAGGATGGGGTGGGCTTCTGGAAGCCTAGAGGCGTTTCTGGGAGGGGGCGTGGGTGACAGCTCTTCCTTTCCCTTTGCCTGGGATCGGCCTGGCCTCCCCCCACCCTCAGCCCAGATCCCGTTTCTAGGCAACAGGGTGGATGCAGGGATGGTTCGGAGGGGAGAGAGCTATAAATAGGGAAGGGAGAAAACAAAAATAAAGTTCCGGAGAAAGCAGTCGAGCGGAGTTACTGGAGGTAGACAGGCTGGGAGGGAGGCGGGTGAATGGTGTGGACATTGGGACGCCCCCCTAGCCCTACTCCTCATCCGTAGGAGAGGGAAGACTGTGGAGGTCCTTAGAGAGCGGACACGTGGGAGAGGGGAGCAGGGATCTCTGTGTGCACAAATGAGTAGAATGAGGGTGATGAGGGGAAATCACTTCTGATAGAAATCACGGCTGGGCAGAAGGATTCACAGGCAGCGGTGAGAGCGATTGCCCCAGCAACAAAGGGAAGGCGCCCTGGGTCGGCAGGCTCTGCTTCGCTGTGTGCTGTGGACTCTGCCACCAACAGCCTTCCAACCTCCCGCTCTGGAATCGGAACGGACCGCTCTACTTGACTGCTGGGCGCTCCCCTCCCCTGTCCTGCTCTGGCTCACTCCCTGCTTGACACTCCTGAGGGTGTTGGCTGCAGGTCTGGTGAGAGCTGGAATGTGAACTGTGGTCCGAGGTCAGGCAGGCGCATTCCTGTACACATCCTGCAGATCCTGATACAGCACATGGCGTGCTACCTCACATACCTGAGCTTAAACCACCCTGTCTTGCTCATCATCTCCCTCTGTGAGCTTGAATGGGGTCTGTAACTCCTGCCCTGTTGCCTCTGCATTTCCTGTTGTGTTTGTGTCACCCTCTCCCTCAAGTCTGAGCAAGTCCCAAAGAAACAGCCCTCCAGGGTGACCTTTGCCACTGGCCAGCCACGTGACATAGGGGTGCAACTGCCTTTCTGGCCCCCACAACAGAATGTAAGATGAGCCTACTCGAGGGTGGTTGAAGTGAAATGAGTGGTGGCAACAGTGTCTGATGCCTGGGACATCCTGGGCGCTCAGGAAATGGCTCAGTCCTGTCACGAGGGAGGAGCCCAGCGAGTGATGTGCTCTGGGTCTTGCACGCACAGTCAGGCCTGCTGTCTGATCGGGTATCTTCCACAGAAGCTTTCTGGGCCTGGGCCTGGAATGGCGATTAGTGATGCCCGCAGGCTCAGTGGGGATGAATGCAGGGCTCGAACCTAGGAAGGAGAAATAAGCTGCCCTGGGCTGGATGGTAGGCCTGGTGTTGCCCCTAGAAATGAGGATCAGATGCCAATGACTAGAGCAGCGTTCACAAACTCAAATTCTTTAGAGTCTGGGCAGTTCTTGAAAAGGAATGCCGAGGATGGGTTTAATCCAATAGGAAGGAAAGGGTGTGGCCAACCTGAAAGTATTCAAAGTAAAAAAAATTTAAAACATCCACAGGTCAAATTTAGCTAGAGGGCTACGAGTCTACGCTTTTAATTCAGCTAAAAGGGCCCCGGGCCCCTAAGTGAGTCAGAGAAGCAAAGCCCACTGGATTGCTCTTCCTCCACCCGCGCCTGCCAGCTGCTTCCAGCCTCCGGAAATAATTGACACAGAAGGGCAAGGTGACCCGAGCCGGCCAGTCTCCGCCAGCGTTCAAGGCCTCCCCTGGCCGTGCACCACCTCCAATCCCAACGAATCAGAGAAAGAGGGGTGCTAACACTTGGGTGTTGATAGAGTAGCGCAAGCTTCTCACAGCCACGAAGCTGGGGCCCGACCGCTGCATAGTAGGGGGCGGGGCCTCCGGCCGGTGGGGCGGCCTCTGCGGCAAAGAAAAGCGGGGCCTCTGCAGGGACGGGGGCGGGGCCTCTTTGTGAGCTGTGGTAGTGGACCGCTGAGGCCGAGGAGGGGAGGAACGCTGCAGGGGCTGGGGCGGGGCCTGTGCATCGGTGGGGGCGGGGCCTCTGCGCGGAGCGTTTCTGTGCAAATCAGGTGGCCCCTTTGCCTGGACTGTGTGGGGCTCTGAAGAGAACGCCTCCAGCAATACTGGGCCCCGGTCTTCCCCACTGGCTGTCGGGGGCCCTGGTGCCAACCCTGCTCCGCCTGTTCCTGGTAGCTTCCCACCTTTCTGCGGACTCTCGCCCATCTCAGCCAAACGTTGGGCGCTTTTCCGGAGCCCTGCCCTCTAAAAGCTCCTGCCCAGTTCCCCTCCCGTTAGGCAGGGTTTTCGGCGTCCTGCAGGTGTGCACCGAGGTGCGTGCCGTTTGGAGCGAGAGGTCGCTGCGTGTACGACATTGTCTCCCAGGGTTCGCCCGGCTGATGTCTGAAGGTATCTCCGTCGCGAGCGGGCAACTCTTGAGGGCACGGGTGTGTGCACGTGCACGCCCGTCAGGGTGCGTACACCGATTTGCACGTACACGCCAGCGTACTTGCACCCACGTCCGCGGTACCGCGTGCCTGCGCGCCGAGGTGTGTGCTGTCGGCCCCGCATCCCCAGCAGGCTCCCTGCGACCCAGCAGGTGGCGCTGGAGGCCACCTTGCTGCTCCGGGATACCTCCGAGCCCACCCAGCCCTCCGGCCGTGGCGCCCCCTCGCCCCAACAGGTCATCCGCGGGTAGCTGATGGAGAAGCAGAGAGGACCGGTCTCGTCTCGGGGCCGGGTGAGGCAGGCCTCAAAGATTGGAGTGGGGCCACTCAGACCTGCAAGTCCCTCAGCCACCTCCCCTCCCACGGCGCCCAGCCAACCCATCTCTGCCCGCGCGGCGCTGGCTACTGACAGATTGGCTTTATTCATGGACACGCGGGGGGCAGCCGGGCCCGCCCGCCCGGGACACGCTCACACGGGGGGTGGGGAACTCTCCATGCCACAATCACAACACACGACGCCCGCGCTCGGACCGGGCCGGCTGGGGGGAAGGGGTCATGGCACAGCCTGGCTCCTGGTTTTGGTTAAAAAAAAAAAGGTACTTGGATCAATGTGGGTGTGGACTGGCGGGCACGGGGGCTGCCAGGAGGCCCCTGGGAGCGCCTCTGTCGCGGCCGGGGGAGCCGTCGCTTTCCAAGATCGTCGTTTAAAAACAAAGAACATGCTACATCCGCGCAGACACTGGACGGGAGGGGGCAGGGAGGGGCAACACTGGGGTAGGGGGGCGGGGACGAGGCCGCGACCGCAGCCCCGGCCTGTCCTCATCCCAGGGCTGGACGCGGGCAGGTAGGACGTACGGACTGACAGACACGAACACAGGCTCCGAGGGGGCGCCTCGAAGCGGAAGGAAGATCTCGTGTGTTTTTGTTTTGTTGTGTGTCGCGGGAAAGGGGCAGAAGGACAGCCCTGGCTTTGGGGGGCGGGGCAGGGGACCGGATAGGGATTGTGCTGCTGGTGGGGGGCCGTCCTGGGCCCTTACGCCTCTGGCTCGTACTCCTGATACTCCTCCTGCATCGGAAGAGAGGGGTGAAGTGAAGAAGAGCAAAGCGGGGGGGGGGTTGGGGTGGGGGGGTGTCGGGAGACCTGGCAGCCATGCCCTTGCCCCACCCCTCGCTCTCAACAAAGGAGGAGGTAGAGGAACGCCCCTCACCCTCGGTGACAGCTGAACTGTTCCTGGGCTGGCGTGCCTGGGGTCTAGTGCTACACCCCGTCAGCCCTCCTAAGTTCTGGAAAAAGTAGCCCCGACTCGACCGGCCAGGGGATCCCTCCCCCATCTGGCGATTAGAGTACCAGCCAGCCCTACTGCCCCCTCACCTGGGGCTGCTCTTCGTAACCTTCCCCTTCTGGCTCCATCAGGGGCTCGATCAGTTGCTCCTCACCGGCTTCCTGGGCCACTTCCTCGGGCTGCAGGCAAAGAGGCGACAGGGCTGAGGGCGGCCAGGGAGTCTACCAGGGAGGCTTGTTGGCTGATTGGTAGCATGCGGAGGCTAAACTGTGTTGGCAATGCAAGTAGAGTTCCTAATTAAATTGTTTATTTGGAGTGCCTTGAAGTGGGATGTAGAAAACGTGAGGCGTTAAATCCCCCCTAATCACCACTTAAAGCTGTAAGGGGGTCGGGAGGGGGGGACTGGGCTTTCCTCACTTCTCCACCAGTACCAGGTAGCCTCCTGCTTCCACCATTTGGAGGGCATGGGGTGGGGGGGGGACAGACACCACCCTCAGTCACCACCGTACCCCTAACCCCTTTGTTTCCATCTCTGTCCCAGGCATTGAGATAAGTCTGGAGGCTGCCCTGGGCCTAGGGGAGATGGGGGTTCAGGAACTGAGCTGGGCAGGGGCTCAGAGCCCCTCCCCTTCCACCCTCCACTCCTCCCTCCCACAGGGCCCTGCATGGCCTGATTTCTTCAGCTGTTGCTATTTTAAGATAAGCTGGAAGCAACAGCTCATGGTGTTGCTTGGATGTGTGAGCTAAGACTCTCCCCTCCTCCCTGCATCTGCTGCCCAAATAGGCACAGACCAGTGGGCAGTGGGGGTGGGGGTGGGGATGGGCAGGGGCTGCTGGATACACAGATGTGCACAAAGCTGTGGTACAAAGATGTGCACACAGCATAACCCGGGGTCTCTGTACACGGTGTCCCTGGATGATGCAAATGCTTCTTGCACTTGGCTGCTAACGGATGGGTTGACAGCTTGAGTTCACCCAGACGCACCTTGGAAGAAAGGCCTGGCAATCTACTTCTGACAACTCAGCCACTGAGAACTCTACGGGGGGCCTAGATCTGAACTCACCATGGCTCAGCTCTCTCCAAATGAGAGGCATAAGTGAACCATAAGACCACAGAGGTACAAACGCCTTGGACCAGCCAGCCAGAAGAGATCGACGAGGCAGCATATTGCCCAGGACGAAAGCTCAGAAGGCAGTCAGGGATGGAAAAGAAGGACACAGGAAACAGACAGGGAGGACGTGGGGCGAGTGCTGTGACACTGAGACTGCAGTCCATGTTGTGAAACAAAATGGGTGTGAGTGTTGAGTGGGAAACGCATGTCACAACAAGACGTTCAAAAGCAACAACAAACCCAAACAACCAGCCAGCCCCACACTGGAGTGCTGTGACTTTCAGACACACTGGGACGCCCCGGGTTAGAATGGACTCAAGGGCCCACGCTATGGTATGGCATACTGTACAGCTTCCAGGGCCACAGGTGAGCTGGCATGTACCTAGACCGCTCATGTGTGCCCGCTGTCCACTGTTAGTGGGTGGAACAAAGAATGCGGGGGCTCTGGGGAGTTGGCACTGAAGCACATGGGTGCCCTCCTGGCTCTGGCCCCATCCAGGCAGTGTCAGCTCCTGAATATGCCCGGTCTGGGTGGACCCTGTGGGCATATAGTTTGCAGCTCCTGACTTTGCTGCTCCCCCCCACCATTTTACAGATGGGGATGTCAAGGCCCAGGAGGCGCGGGCAGATGCTCATTTGCCCAAAGTCACCTGTCACCAGAGAAGGCTGGTGTGCAAAGCAACAGAAGGGCTGAGAGCACCCTGGTGTGACACATAAAGGAACCCAATGTAACACACAAAGCAGCACCTACACTCGCACTTGCTGTTTTCTGCAAGCCACCAGCTACAAAGAGCATGTGTTTGGTGTTAGCATTTATGTGAAGTTTAAAAAACAAAACCCCCAGCTACTCTGTGGTGACAGAAGCCAGGGCTTCAATTATCCTTGAAGGGGTTGTGGGCAGAGCCAGGACCAGGTTGAGGAGCCAAGTGCCCAGGGGACAAATTTTAAGGAGACACTCAGTCCCAAGAGGCTGAAAATGAGCCCAAAGCCCTAGTGTCTAAACAAACAAACAAAAAAAAACCCTCACTGCCATCGAGGCAATTCTGACTCATAACCCAACAAGGCAGGGCTCCTTTAAATGTTTCCCCTTGGTGCCAGAGTGGTTTCCTCAGTCCTGGCCTAGGGTAGGGCCTGGAGAAGAGCCTGGGCTGCTGTGTTTCTGGTCTGGGTGCCGGTTACTCAGGGGAGTCTCCTGGTGAACCTCTCACAGAGCTGCTCGTTTGGGGCATGCATGCTATCTTCAGGAAAAAGTTCACTTACGAAGTTCCCAGATTGGTGGTGGAAAAAAAAAAGATGTATTTGTGTGAAAAAGTTCTGGCAAGTGATCCTGGTGATGGTTACACAAAATCATGCATATAATTAAGGCCTCTGAACTGTACATTTCAGAGTGGTTGAAACAGCACCTTGTACGTTATAGCTGCACCATATCGTGGAGCCCCAGCAGGGTAGTGGGTACGGGTGGGGCTGTGATCTGCATGGTCCGCAGTCCGAAACCACCAGGAGCCCCGCAGGAAAAAAACCTGGGCTTTCTACTCCTGTAAATAGTTACAGTCTCAGAAACTCACGGAGGGTCACGACAAGTCAGGGTTGACCCGATGGTAGTGATCACAGTACCCAAACCAAGCAAACAAACAAACCCATTTGGTGACCTGCTTGATATCAGGCAAGTGACTCCACCGCAGAGCTCAGCTGTGTCTTGTGGAAAACGGGGTAAGGGACAGCTCTTTGCTTTGAGCATTCTTTGCATTCACGTCTGGCCTTACAGGCAAAGAATCTGACTGAGAAATGGTGGAACCGCCCAAAGGGCAAAATGCCAAGAATCCAAACCAACCCCGGGGGGGTGAGGGGCTCCAGAGCCCTTGGCTCTGGTCCTCCAGAGTGTGCTAATAGAGACCTCCGTCTCTCACCATGAGGAGCCCAGGGAACACGGTGGCATAGGTGTTGGGCTGCTAACTGAAATGTCAGCAGTACAGACCCACTAGCCACTCCACAGGAGCGAGACGAGGCTGTCTGCTCCCCTAAAATCAAACAGTCTCTAACCCCTTGTCACTTGAGCTCCCTTTGGGCCCATTTTAAAGTTGCCTTACTTTTTAATGCTTTCTGCATTCTTTTCGATGGAGCAATATCACTTTGATATTGCTATCAGTTTTGTGGGGGTATGGTTTGCTTTCTTATATGCTTTTCTGCATGTGAAATTCAGATAGGAAAATCTATAGAGGCAGTAACTGGATCAATGATTTCTTCGGTGCATGGAAGGAGAGGTTGGGGGGAAATGGGGGAGCTAATAACAGTGCATGCAAGAAAGAAGAAAATGTTCTAAAACGGATTGTGGTGATGATTGTACAGCATCGTCTGGATGCGAATGAACTATTGCATTGTATATGTGGATTATGTGCCGGCAAACCTGTTTTTAAAAAGTTGCAAACGGAAACCATAAATTAAAAAAAAAAATCTTATAGAAACTGTAAGGATAGTGCCTAACAATAACCCACTGCCCCTCCCTTGGGGGAGCACATCTGTGCAGAGGGGTGACAGACCACCAGCCCCTTTCAGTATCACAAGAAGCTCACCTCTGCCTCAGGGCCTTTGCGCCTGCTGTTCCCACTGCCTGAGGTGCTCATCCTGTACATCATTCTGTCTTTCTCTCCCCCGCCCCTGCCTCCCCCTGCCCCCCCCACTGTCCACTCACATAGCACTCCTCAGAGAAGCAGCCCTCATCCCTTGATGCTTTCCCACCTCCCTGTGGTCTGTTTGCTCTGCTCATCTCTGTCTTTACTGGTTGGCACACCACTGCTGCTCTTCTCCCCTCACGGTGGGTCCAAGGACCCAGGAACCTCACTCCCTGTGGTAGCCTCTAGAACCATTCACACCTGGCATGAATATTTGTTGAATGAAAACGAAGTTAATGAACAACCAGTGGCATATGCAGATGTGACTGGAAGGGATCCAGGCCACACTCCCAGGCAGGACACTCCTATACAGCCAGATCTGGGTCACTGTCACAGGAGAGCTGGGCCCGCGCACACCTCCACACAGTGGGGTCTGGAAGGGCCCTGCAGGACGTGGGGCAAGGTGCCCTGAGCCCCCAGCTCGCTGGGAGAGAGGGGGGGATGGTGGCGGAGGTGTGGTGTGGAGTGTGTGTGTGTGTGTGTATGTGGGGAAGGGTGGGGGGTGGTGAGGGGCTCTGCTCACCTTCAGATCTGTGGGGAATTCCTCCTTCTTCACCAGGCCTGTGGCTGCTGCAATGTTCCCAGCCCCAGAGAACACTGCCCCTCCCAGGTGTGAAGCCTGCTCCTTGGTTTTCTCAGCCACTGCATCGGGGGTGGGAAGGGGGAATGGGGGCAGGGGCCAGGGTGAAGGGTGGGCACAGATTTCCCTCCCACCACAGTGCCCCCAGGCCTGTCCTCCTCAGGGAGCAGCGTCCCCCCACCATCATACACACACACAAAGGTCTTGGGGGCTGCAGATCCCAAGGGTGGGGGAAAGGGATTGGACCAGACAGGGTAAGTTGGCACCTGAGGCAACACCTTGTACCACCCCCTCACGGGTCTTGCTGCCTGCAAGGAGAAAAAGAAGAGAAAAGAAGGGTGTGGAGCCAGGGAACAGCACTCCAGGTTCCCCCCCTCCTCCAGTGGCCAGGGGGTGGTCAGAGCGGCCCAGGGAGCGCAGGCACCCAGGCCCACAGCTTCCTTGGACAGCCTCAACCTGGTCTCCACATCCCACAAGCAAGCCCTCCCCAACGCTACCCGTCCCCCACCTCTCCTCATCACTCTTATCTTCTGGGCTTCCACTCCTCCCCACTGTCTGTCCCCTCACCCCCCACCCTCACCCCATCCTGTCCTGACGGCTGCATGCCAGCTTCATGTGAGCTCCTCACTGGCACCCCTCCACTCCTCTCCCAGCCCCGAGAGGGGGGTGCTACCCCAGGCTCTTTGCAAAGAGAGAAAATGCTCAGCAGGTGAAAGAGCTGCTGGGGGTGGGGGTGGGGTGTGTTCCCGCCCCTGGGAGGGGCCTGAGCTGGCCTGCAAGTCCAGGTGTCACTCTAGAACTCTGCCCAGTATGGGTCCCAGCGGGGGACCAGGGTGGAGGGTGAGGGACCCATCCTATCCATGAGCACCTCTGTCCCCCTACTGCCAGGCCCCAGTGCAGAGGGCAAAGCCTTCCTCCAGGCTGCACTGGCGAACGCAGATTGTGGCCAGCACCCACGCATCAGCTGGACCTCCCTGAGAGGGTATGGCTGTCACTTGCCAAATGTAGTGCTACGCAGCTACTGGGAAGGCCAAGCAGCCTGACC